GGCTGGGGCCCCAGCTGCTTTACCCAGGCCTATCTGACCTCATGAGTCCAGACACCACTTGCCGCCCATAGGACCTCCTCAACTGGCCCCCTGCCCTGGCCTATTCCCCTGTAGCTTGGTTCCTGAACTGTGCCTGCCTCCTAACCGGCTTTGCAACAGGACCCAGGACTGTCCCCAGGGCGAGGATGAGCTGGGCTGTGGTAGGTCTGTGGGAGGCCAAGTCATCTCCAGGGTGCCTATGCCACCACTCCCCTCCTAACTGCCTCTTCTCCCTTCTCTCTCCCCAGAGGGGCTGCCAGTCCCTGAAGACCCCAATGGGACCGGGGTCCCCTGTCCTGAATATTCCTGCTCCAACTGGGCCTACATAGGGTTTCAGCTGGTGAGGTCACAGTAGTGGGAACAGGAAGCAGGGTTGGGAAGTGCCTGAAGAGCCCTGACCCCACCTCCTCGAAGGTGTGTGACTGTGCATCTGCAGGGAGCACAGGGCCCTCCCCAGAAGAGCAGGGCTGTGGGGCCTGGGGACCCTGGAGCCCAGGGGCACTTGCAGTCAGACTTGTGGGCCTGGGGTCCAAGGCCAGACCCGCCATTGCTCCCCAGCCCGCCCCCTGGTACTGCAGTACTGCTCTGGTCCCGAGCAGCAGTTTCAAGCCTGCTTCTCTGTAGCCTGCCCGGGTTAGAGGCCTGGAGGGCCCTGGAGAGGGGTGTCTTGGAGGGAAGCGCAAGGGAGGCATGGGTGGGGGGGGAAGCGGAGGGGGCGGGGTGGCCTAAGTTCTGCTGCCGGCCCTCCTCTTCACAGTGGATGGGGAATGGGACCCTGGTTAGCCTGGTTCCCCTGCCTGGAACCCTGTCAGGGCACCACAACCTGGCAGCGAAGGTGCCGCCCACCCCAGAATGGAGGCAGGAACTGTGCCCTGATGCCTGGGGGCTCTCAAGGCCCCTACCAGACCAGTGAGTACAGGCTGCAGGAGGGGAATAGGGGGCATGCAGGAGGGCAGGCAGGGCAGGGGGCTGTGCTTGTGGGGGAGTGGGGCCTTGCCTTAGACTGTTCTGGTTTCTGCTCAGAGCCCTGTGTAGAGGATGGCTGTCCCAATGCCACTTGCCCTGGGGAGCTGGCGTTTTGGCTCTGTGCTCCCTGCCCCCGACATGCCAGGACATCTCCAGCCAAGCCTCATGTCCTCCTGATCAACCTTGCAGCCCAAGTAAGACCTGGCCAAGAGTAGCAGCAGGGCCAGTTAGGGGCCGTCGCCAGAATAAGGAGACTCACCTGGGGCCTTTGCAGGTTGCTGGTGCTCCAAGGGGCAGGTGCTGGGCAGCGAGGGACGTTGTGTGTGGCCTAGGCACTGTCCCTGCCTGGTGAATGGTGCGTGCTACTGGTCTGGCCAGCACCTTGAGGTCAACTGCCAGCTCTGCATCTGCCAAGATGGGCGGCCCCGGTGCTGCTGGCCCAACCCAGACTGCACCTCCTCTCTGGGTGATTCCAGCACCTAATCCTTGGCACAGAGGACTGTGGCTGGTCGTCCTGGTCCCCGTGGGCTGAGTGCCTGGGCCCCTGCGGGAGCCATAGCATCCAGTGGTCTTTCCGGAGCCACACCAACCCACTCCTTGTGGGCCTCGGGCGCCAGTGCCAGGGCCTCTACTGAAAGGCCCGCAGGTATGTTCCCCCACCTTCCCAGCCTTCCCTGCCCCCCATGCCTGCCCCTTATGCCTGCCTCTCCTACTTCACGCCAGTGCCTCATGATCCACTGAGCCCCCAGATGCAGCAGCAGCAGCAGCAGCCTTGAGCTAGTAAAAATGCCTGCCGTTCTGTCTGACTCCTAGCATACCAGTGTGCTGTCCAGGCCATTTGAGCTGGCATCACTGAACAGGGGCTGTGTCAGACTGCCTGTCCGTCTGGCCAGTTTCGTTCCTTGGGGACAGATGTGCAGTGGGGCTACTCCCCGGGCAGAGCTGGGCTGGGGGACACTGCTTGGGAGCCTGTTCAGCAGGCCCGGGCCTTCTTAGGTGCCTGACCCAACCCTGTGTGGAGTGCGAGTGTGCCAGTGTCTGCAGAACCGCATTGTGAGCTGCTCCCCTTACTCTCCGCTGGGCAGCTGCCCCCATGTGAGTGGGGCGGAGGGAGGGCTGGGGTGGGGCAGCGGGCTGCTGGGCCAGCAGGGGCTCAGAACCCAGCAGAACACACCTGTTTGCAGGGCTGGGTTCTGGTGAACGGAGTGGGATCAGCCTGCTGCCACTGTGTCCTGTCTGGTGAGTGGCGCTGGGGGCCGGTAGAGGAGCCCCAAAGGGAAGAGGACAGGGCCTGAAGGTGAAACAGGGATGGGAGCGCTGGGGGGCTGGGGAATGAGGGCCAGACTGTGTGCCCTTTATGAAAGGGGCTCTGGTTGGGTGGTCCCAAGTGCTGTGTTGGGGTTTCCTCCTTCTCCACAGAGCAGAGGAGACACCGTGGACTTTCATGTTCCCCCAAGTGGAGTTCTAGAGGAGCAGGGTAACAGTGAAGGCTCACACACTGCTGTATCGTGGGCCCAGACTTGGTATCCTGAAAGAATGCCCAGTTCCTTCTCCTGCCCCCCGCTGGGGGGACAGACCAATATAGGCCTTCGTGCTTACTGTTGACTGCCCAAGGAGTGGTGGTTTCCCTCTGTGCTTCGCAGCTGTGCCCTGTCTGCCCACAGTCCTGAGCTCGGGTGGCCTTGCCTGTGCTCTCTAAAGTGGATGATATGAACTCCAGCTCATGCCTTGGGGGGAGACCCTTTCCCAGGGCCCCAGGAAGTCTTGGGACAGGAAGGGAACCTTCCAAGACATGAGGGCACCCATCTATGTTCCCCCCGCAGGAGATAACCAGACAGGCCATGCTATGTCCACTCTGCGTCCTGATCCTGGCCCCAGCTCACAGGTAGGACCCCTTCTGGCCACATGTCTTCTGCCTCCACCAGGAGGTAAGGGGATGAAGTTGAGGGCTGTAATCCAGTGGGAGGGGGGGAGAAGCAGGACATCTAGGGCACATGTTCTTGGGGCCACAGGAGCCCTGCCAGTAGA